AGAAAATTTATAAGAAAATAAGAGTTTATAAGAAAATAAAAGTTTATAAGAAAATAAGAGTTTATAAGAAAATAAGAAAATCTATAAGAAAATAAGAGTTTATAAGAAAATAAGAGTTTATAAGAAAATAAGAAAATTTATAAGAAAATAAGAGTTTATAAGAAAATAAGAAAATTTATAAGAAAATAAGAGTTTATAAGAAAATAAGAAAATTTATAAGAAAATAAGAGTTTATAAGAAAATAAGAAAATCTATAAGAAAATAAGAGTTTATAAGAAAATAAGAAAATCTATAAGAAAATAAGAGTTTATAAGAAAATAAGAGTTTATAAGAAAATAAGAAAACTTATAAGAAAATAAGAGTTTATAAGAAAATAAGAAAATCTATAAGAAAATAAGAAAATTTATAAGAAAATAAGAGTTTATAAGAAAATAAGAGTTTATAAGAAAATAAGAAAATTTATAAGAAAATAAGAGTTTATAAGAAAATAAGAAAATTTATAAGAAAATAAGAGTTTATAAGAAAATAAGAAAATCTATAACAAAATAAGAGTTTATAAGAAAATAAGAGTTTATAAAAAAATAAGAAAATTTATAAGAAAATAAGAGTTTATAAGAAAATAAGAAAATTTATAAGAAAATAAGAGTTTATAAGAAAATAAGAAAATTTATAAGAAAATAAGAGTTTATAAGAAAATAAGAGTTTATAAGAAAATAAGAGTTTATAAAAAAATAAGAAAATTTATAAGAAAATAAGAGTTTATAAGAAAATAAGAAAATTTATAAGAAAATAAGAGTTTATAAGAAAATAAGAAAATTTATATGAAAATAAGAGTTTATAAGAAAATAAGAAAATCTATAAGAAAATAAGAGTTTATAAGAAAATAAGAAAATTTATAAGAAAATAAGAGTTTATAAGAAAATAAGAAAATCTATAACAAAATAAGAGTTTATAAGAAAATAAGAGTTTATAAAAAAATAAGAAAATTTATAAGAAAATAAGAGTTTATAAGAAAATAAGAAAATTTATAAGAAAATAAGAGTTTATAAGAAAATAAGAAAATTTATAAGAAAATAAGAGTTTATAAGAAAATAAGAGTTTATAAGAAAATAAGAGTTTATAAAAAAATAAGAAAATTTATAAGAAAATAAGAGTTTATAAGAAAATAAGAAAATTTATAAGAAAATAAGAGTTTATAAGAAAATAAGAAAATTTATAAGAAAATAAGAGTTTATAAGAAAATAAGAAAATCTATAAGAAAATAAGAGTTTATAAGAAAATAAGAAAATTTATAAGAAAATAAGAGTTTATAAGAAAATAAAAAAATCTATAAGAAAATAAGAGTTTATAAGAAAATAAGAAAATCTATAAGAAAATAAGAGTTTATAAGAAAATAAGAAAATCTATAAGAAAATAAGAGTTTATAAGAAAATAAGAGTTTATAAGAAAATAAGAAAACTTATAAGAAAATAAGAGTTTATAAGAAAATAAGAAAATCTATAAGAAAATAAGAAAATTTATAAGAAAATAAGAGTTTATAAGAAAATAAGAGTTTATAAGAAAATAAGAAAATTTATAAGAAAATAAGAGTTTATAAGAAAATAAAAGTTTATAAGAAAATAAGAGTTTATAAGAAAATAAGAAAATCTATAAGAAAATAAGAGTTTATAAGAAAATAAGAGTTTATAAGAAAATAAGAAAATTTATAAGAAAATAAGCAAATTTATAAGAAAATAAGAGTTTATAAGAAAATAAGAAAATCTATAAGAAAATAAGAGTTTATAAGAAAATAAGAAAATCTATAAGAAAATAAGAGTTTATAAGAAAATAAGAAAATCTATAAGAAAATAAGAGTTTATAAGAAAATAAGAAAATTTATAAGAAAATAAGAGTTTATAAGAAAATAAGAAAATCTATAAGAAAATAAGAGTTTATAAGAAAATAAGAAAATCTATAAGAAAATAAGAGTTTATAAGAAAATAAGAAAATCTATAAGAAAATAAGAGTTTATAAGAAAATAAGAAAATCTATAAGAAAATAAGAGTTTATAAGAAAATAAGAGTTTATAAGAAAATAAGAAAACTTATAAGAAAATAAGAGTTTATAAGAAAATAAGAAAATCTATAAGAAAATAAGAAAATTTATAAGAAAATAAGAGTTTATAAGAAAATAAGAGTTTATAAGAAAATAAGAAAATTTATAAGAAAATAAGAGTTTATAAGAAAATAAGAAAATCTATAAGAAAATAAGAGTTTATAAGAAAATAAGAAAATCTATAAGAAAATAAGAGTTTATAAGAAAATAAGAAAATCTATAAGAAAATAAGAGTTTATAAGAAAATAAGAAAATCTATAAGAAAATAAGAGTTTATAAGAAAATAAGAGTTTATAAGAAAATAAGAAAACTTATAAGAAAATAAGAGTTTATAAGAAAATAAGAAAATCTATAAGAAAATAAGAAAATTTATAAGAAAATAAGAGTTTATAAGAAAATAAGAGTTTATAAGAAAATAAGAAAATTTATAAGAAAATAAGAGTTTATAAGAAAATAAAAGTTTATAAGAAAATAAGAGTTTATAAGAAAATAAGAAAATCTATAAGAAAATAAGAGTTTATAAGAAAATAAGAGTTTATAAGAAAATAAGAAAATTTATAAGAAAATAAGCAAATTTATAAGAAAATAAGAGTTTATAAGAAAATAAGAGTTTATAAGAAAATAAGAGTTTATAAAAAAATAAGAAAATTTATAAGAAAATAAGAGTTTATAAGAAAATAAGAAAATCTATAAGAAAATAAGAGTTTATAAGAAAATAAGAAAATTTATAAGTAAATAAGAGTTTATAAGAAAATAAGAGTTTATAAGAAAATAAGAAAATTTATAAGAAAATAAGAGTTTATAAGAAAATAAAAGTTTATAAGAAAATAAGAGTTTATAAGAAAATTAGAAAATCTATAAGAAAATAAGAGTTTATAAGAAAATAAGAGTTTATAAGAAAATAAGAAAATTTATAAGAAAATAAGAGTTTATAAGAAAATAAGAGTTTATAAGAAAATAAGAAAATCTATAAGAAAATAAGAGTTTATAAGAAAATAAGAAAATTTTTAAGAAAATAAGAGTTTATAAGAAAATAAGAAAATTTATAAGAAAATAAGAGTTTATAAGAAAATAAGAGTTTATAAAAAAATAAGAAAATTTATAAGAAAATAAGAGTTTATAAGAAAATAAGAAAATTTATAAGAAAATAAGAGTTTATAAGAAAATAAGAAAATTTATAAGAAAATAAGAGTTTATAAGAAAATAAGAGTTTATAAGAAAATAAGAGTTAACTCAAGTTTATAAGAAAATAAGAGTTAACTCAAGTTTATAAGAAAATAAGAGTTAACTCAAGTTAAAAAAAAAAGTTTAACTTTTTTGCTTGAAAACTTTAACTTAATCCAGAAAAAAAATTGGAAAGTTTTAGTTTTGTTAATGTTTACTTCTTTTTGATGATCCATTTCTTTGTAATTCTACAAAAAATGTCTTTTTAAAGTGGTTTATTGATGTTGATTTTTCAAACATTTGAAAAAAATTAGTCAAAAATAAAAAAATCTTTAACTAGTTGCTATCTTATTTGATGTTAGAAAATCAACATAAATAGTTTAAAGACATATTTTTGTGGAATTAACTTAAAAACCATATTTTGTAGAATTACAAAGAAATATGAAATTAAAAATAAGTAAATGTAAAGTAAAACTAAAACACTCCAGCGGTTTATTTCTTTTTTTCACTAAGTTAAAATTTTCAAGTTAAAAAGATAAATGTTTTATGTTTTTATTTTAATTAGAAACAAAAATATCTGAAATTGATTTTTGTCAGCTGTCTATCTAAACCCAAATAAGTTGCAGTATTTAAAATCATGTTTTTTTAAATAAATTTTTTATCTAATTAAATGGTATTTATGTAAAACTACTCATTTTTACAGGATCCAAACATGTCTAAAAATTTATAAAAATTGAAAAATAATTTATTTACGTATGTTAGATTTGATTTTTGAATTTACAACAGTGAACAAATGGTCATTTAAATTGTCATATAATATAATCATATTAAAATTTTTATATAAACTTTGTTTCTTGAGTTCCCAATTCATAGAAATGTCTTTTTGTTTTTATTTTCAAGTTTTGAAAAATGCAAATAAAAACAAGTATTAGTTTAATTAATGTTATATTCCTAATCAAAAATATTATTTTAGATTTAATAAACTTGTGAGTTGTTTGATTTATTTCATGTTTTTATAAGATTTTTTTCAGGAATAACTGCGTTGGTAAATATTTTTTATCCAATTCAAGGAAGTGACCATATTGACGAATTTTCCTCTTAATTTAATTTATAACTTGGAAAAAACTTGCTATTTACTATATGGCTAATAACTTAGATAAAGTTCTTACTAAGTAATAAATTTAATTTTAAAATGTTTTTTTTTTTTTTTTTTTGATTTAGAAAAAAGCATCTCTCTAATTATTTGTGATTGAACTAATCATCACGACTTTTAAAAAATTACATTGGCAATTAACCAATCTGTAAAATTTTTACCCTCTGTAAAATGTTTCAATTTTAGATGTTACATTTAGTTTTACATTTAGTTTTTAAGTTGTTTAATTAGATTCATAATCTCCAAAAAAAGATATATATTTCTAGACAAAAGAGCCAAAATTATCTTTCTAAGTAATAAAAACTGGTTTAAGGCAAAGTTATATTAATATCTTTGAAACCAGTTGAAATTAAAAAGTGAACTTTTCGGGATTATGATTTTTTGAGATTTTAGGTTGCATTTTTTGAATAAATTGGATTTTTTCATATAGAACTACCTGCTTTTATAAGCAGATAATTCTATGTTTTTAAAATATTTATAGTTTTCATAATTTTAAAGTTATTTTTTTGTTTGAAACCAAGCATTTATTAAAATACAGTTGTTGAATTTATTGTCACAAAAAAAATGCAAATTTATTTAAATTTTTTAGATTGCTGTACTGAAGATGTTGTTGGGTTACAGACATTTACAGGAGAGTATACATTTCCCATCACATTAGCAGACAATACTTCTTTGCTCCCTTGTGTATACAACAGTAGCATTATTATTAAAAGAAAATGCTCATCAGTTAGTTCTTTGGATATTCCTAAATGGAATGAAATTGATCTTTCAGTCTGCCCTCCTAACTCTCCCACTAGTCTCCTGCTAATTAAGTTAAAAGATGTTAGTTTTTTGTTGTTTTTTTTTTGCAATACTTTTCATATATATATATATATATATATATATATATATATATATATATATATATATATATATATATATATATATATATATATATAATAAACATATACTAAAAAAAAGTTAAATATAACATTTAATTTACACATAATGCATTTATTTTAAACGATCATTATAATTAAATTTTGATTTTATTCAAAACATAAAATAAAAACTTAAAAAAATCAACAAATTAAAGTTATTCATAACTTAAGAAGTTTTTTATTGCATTTAAGTTGTTAAAAGATCAAAAAATCTGTAATCAAATTGTAAAGAAAAAAAAAAAAAAAAAGAGTTATCAGTTACAGCGTGAAAATTGAAGTTTAAAAAAACATATAATATTAAATTGCAACTATTTTATTAAAAAACAAAAAACTGCGATTAAATATTCTAAATGATAAGAAAAGAAACTACAACTTCACGAGACTAACGTTAAATAAACTGAATAGCATGACAAAGATTTCAACAGCATAACTTTTATAAATTGAAAAATCGTAAAATTTATAACTTAAAAATTTGATCGGCCACTGTCCAACCCAAACAAGTTTTAACTGGACATTTTGTCCCAGACTTTCTAAAAAATTAAATTGAGCCCTGCGTGTATATATATATATATATATATAATGGATATAGCGGCACTCCCTTATAGCAGCAGACTATAAGATAGCCAATATAGCAACACTTGCTGCATCAGGAAAAAGCAACACTCCTTGCATGTTTTACCTATATGTCAGTCGATGTAGCAGGACATTATTATTGCTTTTTTTTTTTTTTTAATAAAAACAATTTTAATCATAACTTATTCAAAAACCCTCTAGACAAGCTTGTTGTTTTGAAATGCTAAAGTTTTTCAAAAATAAATTTTTAAGACAAATTTAACATTCTTATTTTTTTAAAAGAATGACCTTTATAAAGTATATTATTAGATAAAAAAATAAATTGAAAAGATTACATAGGGTTTACCATACCTTACAAACTTCATATAAAGATTTACCTAATTTGGAGTAAAAATATTACTTGTAAATTTCAGGTATAACCCTTTTATATTGTGTCATGGAAGTTTGACCATAGAAGGTCAAACGCTAAATTATTTTGATTCAATAACACACATATGCAAATTAAAGTTTATTACAGTGTTTCAGAAATTTGGCCTTTAAGTTATTGATGCTTCTTTAAAAAAACACACTTCATTTATGTAAATTGGTTTCTAAAGGTCAATCAAAATATTTCAGTGTCTTTCCAAACACTCAAGGCTCAAAATATTGACAATATAAAAAAGTTAAAATAGGCAAATGCCGGTTTTAATTTTTTTATACTGTCATTGGTTCTTCTGCAAGAAAACCATGGCTTGGCCCATTAATCAGCAATAAAATTGTTTGACTCTATTATTGATTCTTTTTTTGTAAGAAAGCTCTTGAATTCTTTAGAGTTTAAGAGCTTTGAAATAAGTTTAGTTGAAAGAATCACCAGTAAAATCATTGATTCTTGATAAGACTTTACATAAGATATCCAGCACATATCATTTCTGCTTTATTTCTTACTTTTAATAACTGGTATGTTAAAATTACATCAAAATGTTACTAATAATTAAATTAAAAATCAATTCAACTAAAAAACATTTTATGACAACTCATTTAGGTAATGTTGATAAAAAAACAATCTTTGAGTTCATAAAATGCCTAAGAATTAGCTCATGTACAAGAATATATGTCGATAAGGATAATTCACTGAGCCTGGAACAATTTTTGTCAAATGTTTAGTTGTTTCATTTTTAGAATATGTATTTACTGCGGTGGTGTCAAATATTAGAATGCAAATTAAATTTCATAAAATTCCAAAATAATTTTGTGTCACATATTATATAGAGATAGAGTTGACCTTCTGTAGTCAAACTTCCATGCCTTTCTCTAACATTTTTATCCAAAGATTTAGACTTAGATTTAGTAATGCAAGTAATAATAATAAGCAAATAATAATGTTGTTTGTCTTACCATCAAAATGTAAGCTCCACATTTCTTTAGAAATATTGATTGACCGAATCGAGTTTATTTTATATGCAAGTATTGTATATGCTTTTTAGTTTCAATGGGATGGTATAATCATCACTTGTACTATTGTCTTCTGATCTTTAACTACTAGAATTGTCTGAACCTTAGATTAAATTACATACTCCTAGTATATACATTATATATATTATATACTTTTATGTATAATTTTTTTTAAATAAGTAATTTTTTTCAATATAAGTAATTGGAATTTTTTTAAATATAAGTAATTTGAAATTAAAAAAACATAATTTAGCATTATATAACAATAAAGTATTTAATGTATATAATAATTTTTGTGAAAAAAATTTTAAAAGATATTTTCTTTAAATTTGCAGCACAAATATTATTTTAATTCTTGTTAAGTAAAATATTTATTTATTAAAATTTATTTTCAAAATTTTCCTAATGGACTACTTTTGCATTTTTTGCTGAGGAACACATGCACACAAAACACTAAATGTTATAAAAAAATAGTATGCATAATAAATAAATATAATGCATTAGTGTTTTGTTTCATCATTAATTATTGTAGATAAAACATTTTTTCAATGTCTTGTAAAAAACAGTTTTTGAATGCATTGTAAAGGTAAAATTTTGAAAAGATAAAATAGGTTAAAACTTTAAAAATAGGTCTTTGATATTGTATGTCTTATGTTATATATGTTATATATGTCTTATGTTATATATGTCTTGCCTGTGCTTGTTGGGTTAAATAATTTTAAAAGTTAACAATTTATAACTTCTTTTATTTTTAAGTTCTTTTTATAAATGTTTCATTGACTTTACAAATTTTTCTTTAATTTTTTTCTTTGTTGTTTTTATTTGGTAAAATAATTCTATAATTAATATGCTGATTTTTTTTTTTTTTTTAACAGACTAACATAACAAATGAAAATGTTGAGCAGGTCGCATATAACTTAAATCAAGTTATTAAAAATGGATCGCTTACAAATATATATGACATTGATCTGATTAAGCAAGTTATTGACAACATTATTAGTGTTAATGCATCATCAGAAGTTGTGTGTTAATTTATTTTCATTTTTATTATTTTATTAAGATGTTGTTATATAGTATACAAACTAATATGTAAATTAATATATGCAATTATTTTTAATAAATGTAATTAGTTTAATATATGCAATGAATTTTATTATATGCAATTAGTTTTATTATCTTTTACCTAATATCAAAATTTCTTTTAATATATGCAATTAGCTTTGATATATAAAACTAGTTTTGATATATGCAATTAGTTTTAATATATGCAATTAGTGTCAATATATGCAGTTGGTTTTATTATATATTTTCTATATTTTCAGGTTACCAATGCTATTTTGTCAACTGTAGACAGTCTGCTAAGTTCTAATAATGCTTTGATTGTGAAGGCAAATCAAAAATTTGACTCATCTTCTGCATTTTTGTTTCAATTGGATGCTTTAGCCAAGCAGCAAGTTAATAATTTGACAATTTCAAAAAAATCTATTGGATTTTCATCATATATAATTGAAGAAAATTATAATCCAATATATATTTATTCTGTAAATAACAAAGATTCTTTACAAGTAAATATAACATCCCAAAATCTTACCAGTATTCTACAAAACTTTACAGCAAACATCATTCTCCCTGCACAACTGTTTTTTGGAAAAAATAACTCCCGTGTTTATTCTTTTGCTTTTTTAAAGAACACATTTTTCACTCAAGGTGTGGATAGTGTGATTCTGTCAGCCTCAATAAATGGCTTAAATGTTACATACTCTAAAGAACCCATACCAATGACTTTTTCGTCTAATTCAAACAATTCTGGGACAAGAGTATGTGGCTTCTATAAAACACAAGGTTTGTAATTTTTATTAACAAAAAATAGAATTAAAGAGCAAGGAAACAGTTGAGAGAAGACTTAAAAAGTTGTAGGTTGTATGAGTCAGGAAAACATGAAGATAGAAGAGAGTTTCAAATGTTTAAAGTGCAGGGAAAAAACTAGACAAATAAAAGTTTTTAAAAAGCATGCAGGAACAGATACATAGAATGAGACTTTGAATAAAATGAGACTTTGATGAATGACAAGTCAAGTGAGGATGAGTATTGGTTGGTGGATGATAGTATGATAGTATTAGTAGTAGAGAGGTGCAACTTTACAACAATGTGAGAGAGGCTCAAGCTTGGTAGAAAAAACAGCTCCAACTATGTTTAATGATGCTGTTTCCCTTCTAACCTTGTCTAGAAGGGAAAGAAGTAAGAAAATGGCAAGTACAATAAAGAGAAGCAACCTTATGATCCTAGGGCTGAGAGGGTCCATTCATCAATATTGGAATGTTGACAGTATTGTGATAGTTGTTTGAAGTAAATAACTGAGTTTTGTAAAAGTTAAAAATTTCAAGCCACTACAAGAAACAATCTGTTACAGAAGTGATATCAGATTCAAGATTGGCTGCCTGTTTAAAGCTATCAAAAATAGAACACTTTTTATCAAAACAGGAGTATGAATTTGAGTCATTAACAAATAGAGTCACTTCAGATGTAAGGTTGTCAGGACAATTATTAATTTAGATAAGAATTAAAACAGGGGCAAAGATAGATCTATAAGGTACTGCAGTGTTAACCTGTTAGCTGTAATGAAAGGAAGAGTATGACCATAAGAATAAAGAATTGAAATAGAAGAAAATTTTTTTGCAAATTGTTCAGTCTTATCCTTGAGAAGATCACTCTTCTCAAGGATCAGAGATAGAATAAACTTTGTTAACAATGCTGTTGAAGAATTTCCAAATGTCTCTAGAGACTAACTTGATATAAGATGCAAGATTTAGTAAGCTGGGAATAATGCAGCTTAGCATCAGTCAGCACTTTTTAATATTGATTTCTTGCTATATTAAATAGGCGTTTTTTCTCAAGAGAGTTGTTCCTTTGTAAAAGATGAAAAATATTACGACTAGATGTAGTTGTACAAGAAGGTGAAAACCATGGAGTAGAATGAGGTTTGACTTGGAACCAACAAGAAGTAATAAAAGCTTTCAAACCTGCCTGGATTTTACCTAGTGGTTACCTAGGAGCCAGAGTAGAGAGAAAGACATCAGATCAATGACCATCACAAAGAAAATCGCAAAATGAACCCCAATCAGCTTTATAGTAGTAGTATTTTTTTTGTGATGATTGGGTGATTCCTAAGGAAAAGTACAAAATAAAAGATTTATAGAGATCATTGCATGGTCGAAACCACCTAAAGGAAAACAAGGAGTAACTAAACACACGCTATACTCAGAAACAAGACACAAATCAAGGAGTGAAAATTAGTGATTAGGGTTGTCTGGAAAATGAGTCACAAAATTAGCTATCTGAGTAAGAGATTAAGATATGCAGAAGTTATGGACTGTAGTGCCAGCAGGGTCAGTGGTGTTAGAGCCATTTAGTGTTATGAGCATTCAAGTCACCAATATTTGGAGAGGGGTAATAGAAAGGGCATAGTCAATGTGACCAGAAATTATTTTAAAAGACTGCAGTCTTGAGAAGAAGGAGAAAGATAAAAAACAAAGAGAGTGAAGAGGTGTAAAGTGAAGAGGTGTAAAGTGAAGAGGTGTAAAGTGAAGAGGTGTAAAGAGATAGAGTGGTAGAGTGAAGAGGTGTAAGCAAATGTACATCAAAGAATAGTCAAGAGATTGGAACCTGATGTGAAATCATGTTCCAATCTCTTGATGCGTATGTATGCCCCTAAGCCAAGTATGTAACTATTCGAGTCTTTGCAAATCAAAGTGTCCATCAACACTGAGATCTGAAGAAGGAATAGCTGAATTAAATTAGTCTTACTAGGAGCAAGCAAGTCTGGTGAGTTTTGCAAATGGTAAGACTCAGCTGATGGAAGATTGCTATGCAGACCTTCAATTTTCAATCTTACTTTTGTAAAATAAATGAATAGACAGAGGGTTCCAACAAATTAAACTATTTCAATAGGTGAGTTGATGCATATGTATACCCCCAAGCCAAGCATTGGACTATTGGAGTCTTTGCAAATCAATAATAGTATCCATCAGCACTATGATCAGAAGAAGAAATAGCAGAATTTAAATTAGCTTAACAAAGAGAAAACAATGGTAGTTTTTGCACAAGGAGAGAATGAACTGATGGAAAGTTTCTTTGAATACTATAAATATTTGTGAAATATATATGAAACACTTATAAAAAGTGGAGGTGATGGTTTTTTATGTATAATATTTTAGTTTACTTTTTTCATGATTAAAGCTTAAAGAAAACTCATTCATAGATTGACATGGTGGCCACAGTCCTGGAACGTCCTGGAATGTCCTGGATTTTTGCAAGTGTCCTAGAATGTCCTGAAATGTCCTGGAAAATTACATTTTTTTCAAAAATAACCTGAAATGTCCTGGAACTTTTTTTTTTCTGAGTCAAGTTAAAAAATTACTAATAATATTGAAGTAATATTAAATTTTTTATGCAAAAAAATTTTTTATATAAATGGTTTGAAATTAATTTTAAATAAGAGAGTAATTATAACGTAATAATATAATATTCTATTCTATAATTCAATCAATATGAAAAAAATATAACGTAAAAATAATTGATAATATTCATTTAATAAGATATAAAGTGTCCTGGAAAACGCAACAAAATGTCCTGGAATGTCCTGGAAATGTCCTGGAATTGAATTTTTAAAATTTTGTGGCCACCATGGATTGAGCATGGCATCCCAAGCAATGAGCTTTGTAGTTTTCTCAGCCCTGCTAATTAATGCAAAGTTATAACTTTGTACTTCTTATGTGGCCTCAACAATGATATTGTTGAAACAACCAAAAACATTAACATGGACACCATCCATGCGTAAAGTGGCATTGTTAATTCTCTACACTCTTGATATTTTACAACTCTTGATTTAAAGGCTACCATAGAGTTTTGAAATATACTACTAGCTGGCCCCAGAATCATTAAACTTAATTTTAGAGCTATACCTTGATTATGGGATAACAAAATGAGTTGCATAGCCACAATCAAGGAGGCACAAGCAAAATGAGTGAAGAATATCCAGCATTCATCATCCTAGGCAGGAAACAATGTAACACAGTTTTACATCTACTCCAGCCTAATAGGTGAAGTAACTAGCAAGTAAAGTGTGAATTAACAATAATGAACAAGCCTAAAATAAACTAAAACTAACTAAAATGAACAGCCTAAAAAATGAATTAATTTGTTTAAGACTAAATCTTAAGACTAATGATCAATTTACTTTAAAAAAACATGATTATTTATAAATTATGATTATTTATAATGAATTTTTTTTATTTTAATACATTTACATTTTTTGGGTTACAGAGAAAGTTTGGTCTACTGAAGGATGCAATACCACTAGTAATTCTTCATCTATAATATCGTGTCAGTGCAATCATCTTACAAACTTTGCATTAATATTAGACGTAGATCAATCTGGAAACAATCCATTAAGTCTTCAAATCATTACATGGATTGGTTGTGGAATTTCTATTGCAGGATTATTTATTACCATCATCAGCTACTCTACTTTTCGGTAATCACTATTTTTTTGAGTAATAATTATGTTATGGAAATAATGATAATAGGCTAGGGTAATAATTTTATTTTTATGTTTATCGAAATTGTTTTATTTTTTTTTAATTTGATATTCATAATGTCATGCTTGTGTGGCTTAGACAGGTTTTCATAAGGCTTAAAGGGAAAGAGAAGCAACATTATGAAGACATGACAATAGTTAAAGGTTGGCTTCAAGAGCGAAATCCACTCCAGATATGGCAACAGTATTCCATACAAGGATGGATTTGAGATTTATAAACATAAAAAATAGAATTCCAATAAAGAGATGCAACCTTGGCAGATATTAATTTTGCAATGTATTTGAGTTTCCAAAAAAGATTGGAAGTAAGATTTAATACTAGAAGACAAAGGGTACTAGTATTTAGTATAAGGGTACTAGTATTTAGTAGGGACTTGAAGAAGGGTAGATGACTTGAAGAAGGGTAGATGACTTGAAGAAGGGTAGATGACTTGAAGAAGGGTAGATGACTTGAAGAAGGGTAGATGACTTGAAGAAGGGTAGATGACTTGAGTGCATTACCATTCATAAATATAGGAAAGTCAAGATTATTGAGATAACAAGTAGTTGAAATAATTTTTTTTTTTTTTTACTTTTTATCTGAGTTAAAGTTCACCTGCTACTAAAAGCCCCATGCTGTAGCGGAAGTGAGATTTTAAGCACAAATGCCCCCTCTAAGCAGTTAGAGAGTGTTGGCTTTTTATCAAGACAAGAATAAATGGTAGTATCATCAGCAAATGATGCTATTTTAGAAGTGAAAATTTCTGGGTGATAATTAATGTAAATTAAAAAAGTAAAGGACCATGGATAAAACCTTGAGGAACCCCTGAAGTTACAGGATATGAAGAAGTGTGATGTCCATTGAGGACAATCTTTTTACTATAATTGGTAAGAAAGGATTTAATAAAAAATGATTGGTAGGGAAAGATACTACGATTGGGAAGTAAGGATTCAACAAAAGATTCAAAACAAAATCAGCAGTAAAACCAGAAGATTGAAATCCATATTGATGATCAGAAAGTAAGTTATTAGATTCAAGATGAGCGATTAAGGCTCAAAAAGCATGTTCTTGAATTATGGAGAGGACATAAAAGATTCCCTGTCAGCCTGAATCCAAGAAGTTACAAAAGAAGCACATTTGTCAGCAGGAAGATTTCTACCCAAGTGCCATCACAAAGAAAATTACAGAAAGTGTCACAGTCAGCTTCAAAGTAGTTGTAAGCGTTACGATGATTGAGGGTGAGGGTAATAGTTTTAGAGAAATCAAACCGTGATCAGAAGCACCTAAGGGTGAGTGGAGAAACTGAGCACTGTTTAGGATCAGAAACAAGTTGAGTAGAGAAGATAAATGGTTCAGATTGTCTGGAAAGCGAGTTACACACACACAGATATATATATATATATATATATATATATATATATATATATATATATATACATACATATACATATTTATATATCAAATAATTAATGCTGTTAATAAATAAATGGATAACTTATGTGAAAGCCCAAAGACAACACTAGTCTAAAGAATTTCTTCACGGTGCAATAAATGATACTTTTTATTTATATTACCGTAAGATTAATGTTATAAACTTGCTTGTAACAAGTATAAAACCAAATTTTGTATTTAACTTATTGAATTTTTAATTACCCAACTTTCTTTGTTGTTTTGTTGATAATAATCTTTTTGTTTTGTTGATTTTCCTTCACTGAAAGTTTTGTTTATAAAAAGATTATTTAATCTATAGTTCATAGAAATAAAAATGTTAATAAAAATTTGTTAATAAAAATAGAAAAAAATGAAGCTGACGGTTTAATAACTATAATAACATAAGCCACTAAGCTACATAAGATTGGATAAATTTTTTTAGTCATGTTTATTAGAGGCAACAAAATACTAGACAATGTTTTTGCATGTTACAATAGTTGTAAACTAAAATAATAACTATTGCAACATGCGAAAACATTGCCTAGTATTTTGTTTCCTCTAATAAACATGACTAAAAAGATTTATTCAATCTTATGTAGCTTAGTAGCTTATGTTATCTTAGTGGAAGAATAACCAGAATATAGAATAAATTAGCTTCTTATAAGCTTGGATCAGGAAGAAAACAAAAAATAGGAACATCAATGATCTGAAAGATTTCTTGAACAGCGGTCTGGAATTTCAACAAGAAAAATTGCAAAGAAATTTAAGTATGATTATTCTTACATTGGAAAACAAATAAAACAAATTCGTTTTTTTAAGAAAAAACAAGTTTCTTATTGCACTGATAAACAGTTCGAGCTGTTGCAACTGAAGTGCGGAAGAGACAAAAATCGAAATTCAGTCACAAATTCAGAGACTGAAATTGTCATTTAGTTATTAAGTTTATAAAGATTTTACTCCGATAATCTAAAAAACTTGCAATTAACCAAACCCTATAACAAAATGATCAAAATCATCAAAAGATTGATTCCAATTATTAACTTACTATTAACCTATTATTAACTTATTATTAATGTTGATGATAATTATGTTTTTTGACCTGACTTGGTCCCTTTACACTATGTCAAAGATGTGACAAGTCACCTAGATAAAAAATATCCTTTAGGTTACAAAAGTCTAGCTTGTGTCCTATAATAACAACCTGTTGAGAATTTCTGTTAAATTCTTAAAGGTTATGTGTATAAAAAAATTTGTACTTATTAAATAAAAAGTTAATAAAAATCTCGTACAAAAAAATGAGTGTAGTACATTGTAATGGCAAGAAAGTATTTGTTAAATATTCCATTATTTCAGGCCTAAAGGTAAAAAAATAAATATATTACTATTCTAAGGTGCTATTAACATTCTTGACAAGGTGTTTACTTCTCAGTTTAAGGATAAATTTTAACCAGTTTGTTCTGCCTTATGTAATTTAACTTTATAACTTGTTTTTAAGTTATTGTTTAACTTTTTTTCAATTTGTTTTAAGTAATATATTTATTTAAGTTAAATTTTTAGTTTTAATTGATAATTAATATTGTATTAATAATTGTATTAGTAATTATAATTGGTATATTAGCTATTTGACTCTTTAGTAAATTGCGAATGAATCTTGCTCCAAAAATCCTTATAAATTTGTGTGTGAGTTTAATGGTTACACTTATTATTTTTCTTGCATTGGTTGAACAGACTAAACCTCGTGTTTTGTGTCAGGCAGTTGCGTCAATTTTGCAATTTTTTATTTTATCTACATTTTTTTGGATGGCTGTTGAAGGAATCAATTTGTATAGAATGTTTGTAAAAGTATTTCGTGGTTCATATAGCTCTCGTATATTTATGCTTAAATCATCCGCTTTTGCTTGGGGTAAGTTTATAATGTGTTAAAGGTTTTTATGTAAAAATGTTTTTTTTTCTGTAGCTCTTAACAATAACATATTTACTACATTTGTTTATATAGTTTATTTTACAGTGCCATTTATTTTAAGGTATACCGCTTATATTTACAATAGCAACTGCTGCTATTAAACCTGATTACTTAGGTCCTGCAACAAAGAGTGATCCTCAAATGTAAGTATTATCTTCTTATTCTGCTTTTATTTTTTGTATAAATAACTCAAAAGTTAGTTTACTGACACTTATTTTCTATAGATGTGTTGTTCGTGGAATTTCTTTTTACTTTGGGGTACTATTACCTGTTTGTGTTGTAATTATGGGTAATTTTTTTATCCTTATCCTCGTTCTAAGAGGTGTTACTGCTAAAGCTAAACTTTCTAACAATACTAAAGTTAAAACTCAGAAAGGTTACAGTAAAATTAGAATTGCATTAGCATGCTCTGTTTTGCTTGGTACAACATGGATATTTGCAATACTTGCTGTTGGTAATTTTCGTGATGCATTTCAATGGCTGTTTTGTATTTTTAATTCACTACAAGGTTTTTTTATATTTTTTTTCTATACTGCACGAAATTCGGATGTCAAGCATCAGTGGTTAAAGTTTTTTGGAGTGGAAAAATCATTTAGAGATCCAAGCAGCAGTAGTGCAAGTCGCACAATGGGTAAGTCAATGATTTTTGAGTTTAAGTTTAATTAACAATTTTGTATTATATTAATTAGCTGTATTAACTTATAACTCACAATGTAAATATTGTTCTTAAACTTTTCTTTCTAAACAACTTTTTTTCTAACAGATTATGGTTCTAATACTTGAATTTTAATTTATCTTCAAGCTGTTTCAGTTAATTGATTATACCATCACGGCATTTTAATTAATTGATTATACTATTACTTTATTTTATTCAGCTATTTACTGAAGTCTATGCAGTTTTTAGATTTTGAGAAACTTTTTATTAAATTAAAAGTAACAGAATTAGATATTGAAATAATTAATATCGAAATATTGAAATAATTCTTAATTTGCTTCTATTTTTTGGTAATAAAATTGAAAAGAATTTTAACATATTGTAGAACTTCTGGTACTTCTATTAAAAGATTCTTCTTTATATTAATACATTTTTTATCAAGTGTTTAACAATTTTGAAAAAAATTTTCACCTGATTAAGTTTTAAAGTATTCTCACAAAAAAAACCTTAAAAAAACGATTGGTCTAAAATAACTGCTCAGAAGCTTAGAAAACTGTTAATTAACATTTTAACATTAAGGATAATTTTACACAAAAGATAAAGAGTGCGCGCAAGAGTGAGTGTAAATAAAATAACATAAAATTTTTTCTGGTGATTGATAGTAGTTCAATTACTTTTTAATTTAATTCTTAAATTAAATTTTAAATTTAACTGTTCAGTTTCCTTAAATTTTTTTTCTTTATAAAAAATTAAGAAAAGTTTCTCATATAAAGACATTAACATTTTTACATCTAATTTTGCTTTGATTTTTGTTATCTCAAAAATTTTATCATCTCAAAAAAAATTCCATTCAAGTTTGTTAAGACCCTCCCATTTATTAATTTTAACTTTTATCAACAAAAAAAATTGTATCTTAAAATAAAATAAAAATACCGTGTGAATAGGACTATAAAATTGGAAATTATCTTGATAAGAATAAAAATTTAGGCTTTAAAAATTGTGTACTTAAAAGTCTTTTGTTTGTTTTTCATCAGCTATTGATTACAAATCAAAAAAGTAAGTTAACGTTTAAAAAACGAATCAAAAATTTACGGTAGAACGGGTTCTGATGTAATTTAAAAAAGACGCAATCATTTATTTAAATGTCGACATTAAGATATTATTTCAAAATAATAAAATAATATCTAAATTTCGACATTTAAATAAATTCCTGTTATCTTGGTTTGATGCTGGAGACTAAATGATTGTGTCTTTTTTAAATTACGTCAGAACCCGTAAATTTTTTATTCATTTTTAAACGTTAATTTACGTTTTTGATTTGTAATTAATAGCTAATGATAATAAATGGCTAAAATGAAAATAAAAGCAAATAATATATAACTGTATAAAAAATTTATATACCATTAAAAATAAATAGTAACTAAAAAACAAACAAATGACTAACAAAAAATAATAAATAAAACTATATACGTTAAAAAATTGAAGAAAAATAAATAAATTATAAATATCTTTAAATAGTTTTTTTTCTTTCTTTGTCATTCTTTTTATATATTTTGATTCATTAAAGTTTTTTTTTAACTTCTATTTTTATTACTTTTTTACTAAATGATTGTGTTTGTGATTACTCATTTTCTTTCAGATATTTCTTTTAATTTTCTTCTTTTAAAATATTTATTTAATCTTCTTTTATTTTGATTTCATTTTTAGTTTAATTTGTAAATGTTTTCTTTTCCCTTTTCCTTTTTTCCTTTTAAAAAGTTATTTTCAACTGTTAAAAAAAAAGCGTCCACCATTTGCGATGTCATTGCAATGATCAGAACTTCAAGTACTGTTGTTTTTCTTCAAATGTATATATATATATATATATATATATATATATATATATATATATATATATATATATATATATATATATATATATATATATATATATATATATATATATATATATATATATATATATATATATATATATATATATATATATATATATATATATATATATATATATATATATATACATATATATATATAGATATAGATATAGAAATATATATATATATATATATATATATATATATATATATATATATATATATATATATATATATATATAGATATATATATGTATTTGTATATATATATATATATATATATATATATATATATATATATATATATATATATATATATATATATATATATATATATATATATATATATATATATATATATATATATATATATATATATAGATATATATATAGATATATATGTATTTGTATATATATATATATATATATATATATATATATATATATATATATAGATATATATGTATTTGTATATATATATATATATATATATATATATATATATATATATATATATATATATATATATATATATATATATAATATGTGATTTAGATATTCATTTGGCAACTAATCAAATTCTTGTCTATTTTAGAGAAAACGCAAAAAATACACCTTGCATCTACCATTAATCGCAGTTCAACTGAAAAAATCAGTGAAAAAGAATCAAGTGTTGAAAAAGCTTTAAATCCTGAATAAATTGAGTTGTAAAGTCCGTAATTACACCGTTAGTGATGATGCAGTGACGAAATGTTTGTGAAAAATATGTTTGCATAATTTTTTTACATAAGCAATATCTAATAGTTTAATTTCTTCAGTTTATAAAAGCTTTGCTGAAAGAATTTAGACAGAACAGTTTTCATTGATTTACTTTTTTTAAGTTTCTTAAAATTAAATATATTTTTAAAGCACTGCTCTTAAATAAATATTTTGGTTTATTTATATTGTACATTTTTGTATTTTGAATTAATAGTATTCCAATGTATATATTTAAATAATTAACATACACTATATATATTAAATTTCTATATGGCTTATATATATAAATAGATCGCGAGGTTAAAATTATTTTGTTCTATCTCCATGTTTTTCCGAACTGAGATAATAGAATTTGTATTAATTTCCTATACAGGCTACCAAAGTTTTAAAGAAATTGTATTAAAATATTTTAAGTGCAGGTGTCTGAATTACTACACCCTGATTTAGAGATATAACAATGTAATACAAACTTATTTTATAAAGTTCAGTGTTATTTTGTTCTATCTCCATTTTCTGTTAAAAAATATAATACAAACTAGTATTTTTTATATATATTGTGGCCAGGGCCGGCGCGACTAGGTGTCTCTATACCTCTTGTATACTAGAATTCCCTGGTCTTATTTCGTTGTGAAGGTCTTGGTACTTACTTACGACTGTTCATGTTTATCGTCATAAATTTCTGAATAAAATAAACATTTTATTCAGAAACTGATAATTGATTTTTAAACAGGATTAAGGAGATAGAACAAAATGCAATGTCAAGTATAGTAAGTTCAAGTATATAGTCAAGTATAGTAAATTGATCTAAATCATTTTTTTTTGATTTTTGGAGAGAACAAATTTCCTCGCGCAATTACAATTACGTTTCGCAAAAAATAAAATATAATTACTAAAATATTTAAAAAAAATGGATAGGAGGAAACTTAAACAGCAAAATACTAACCCTATATATATATATATATATATATATATATATATATATATATATATATATATATATATATATATATATATATATATATATATATATATATATATAGGGTTAGTATTTTGATGTTTAAGTGTCCTCCTATCCATTTTTTTTAAATATTTTAATTATATTTTATTTTTTTATTTATATATATATATATATATATATATACATATATATATATATATATATATATATATATATATATATATATATATATATATATATATATATATATATATATATACATACATATAGCACCTAAAGGTAACAATTTATGTACGCTTAAGTGTGATACATATCCCTAATGGTTTACTAGTTTTTGATTGTATATATTTTATGTGTGGGAGCCATAGTAAACTTTTTTTTTGCGTTTTAGCATGTTTATTATTTATAATAACAGGGTGACCACTATTCATGAAATGTCATGGAATTTATTTATGAAAATGTTTTCAACAAAAGTTTTTCAGTTTGCTTGCGTAGTTTCTGTTTAAGCAACATAAGTATTAGAGCAGTAGCCAAGAAAAAATCTTGGTCTAAAAGAAAATTCTAACTAATCAAACTAGTCTTGGTAGAGCAGTAAAATTAACTTTACTCTTTAAATATGTGACAAAGGTCGCAAAACACGTTTAAAAGTAACATTAATATACTCAGAAAAGAAGTTCTTTAAATACATGGTATTACATGGTATGGCAGTTTATCTTTGAATATTATCGTCAATCACAAAGAAGTTACAATTGCGCGTTTTTGCGTAATGGTTAAAAGGTTGCATATCTCTAAGTCAATATCCGCTCAAACAGCTGATTCTGCAAAATATCAGTTTTAAAACTTTACAAATTTGTTGTAACATTCGAGAAAAAAGAGTACAACTAGTTTCACCTTTAAAATTTTTAATGTCTTGTTTGATAATGTTTGTATTAACATTTTAAAATATAAAAGAAAATCTGTATCCTAATTTTCATATGGTCTCATAGTCAGTGTGACCTTAAACAAGGTTTTTCCTAATTTCGTTTTAGGTTCCCTAGAACACCTGACGATCTTGTCACAGAGCAACGCGGAAGAGAATTTAACTAGGAAGTTCACGCCTCTTTACTTACCGATAGCGCGTAAATATACCCAGAGTTCGCTTTGAATTCGGGATCTCTTGCTTTTAAAGACAGTGCTCTATCCATTGCGCCACTACTGCTCCAACTTTAGTGTTAACAAATTTATGTGTACTGTTTATGAAAACAAAACAGGATATTTCGATCATCACAATCACTAATGAATTAAAGACGTGTTTCTGTAATAAGGCAGTAAACTTCTGCGAGTACCTTAATAAACTACACAAAAAAAAAAAAAAAAAAAAAAAAAATTTCCAATTTAGCAAAACTTCTTACATCATTTTTGCACAAATATTGACTACCCGGCCAATATTTCTTAACCTTTTTTTACAAGCAAGGTTATAAAGATTTTTTTAAACTGGTGATAAAGCATACGGAAGCGATCGGACGTTTTATTTTCTTGAAAAAGATTATCTTTAAATTTACATAACTTAAATTAAAAAAGGATTTTACTATGGTGAGTATAGAACTAATGGTAAATGTACTATTGGATAAACAAAAAAACACAATAATAGAAGAAACTCAAAAGTTGCTAAAAGAACAAGAAAAAAGTTTTACTGCAATTACGACTGCGAATATAAAAATAATAACCGAAAGATTTGATAAACTTGAATCAGACATTTTAAACAACTCGGCTAAAATTGCTACGATTACTAATGCGTTAGAAACTTCTAATCAAAAGATATTGCTTTTGGAAACTGAATTAAATGAAATTAAAAAATTTATCCATGTTAATGATGAAATAGTTGCATCGAAATTTGAAATAGTTAAAGAGAAAACAAAGAAAGTTAGCAGTCAAGTAAAAGATAAGAGCACTGTGAACAAAATAAGTAACAAGTTAAGGGAGATAGAGGATAGATCTAGGAGAAATAATTTAAGAATAAACGGAATAAAAGAAAGCGAGCATGAAACATGGGATGAAAGTGAGTTAAAAGTGCTTAAATTAAAGATGTGAAAATCGAAATCAAAAATGTGAAAATAGATATTATGAAAAGATCAGTGAAATTAAAAGGTATGAATATTTACATAAATGAAGACTTTTGTTTTGAAACTGTTCAGATAAGAAAAGACTTGAAGAATGAAATGTTTAAGCAGCGAGAACTGGGAAAATATGCGTTTATCTCTTACGACAAGCTGATCGTGCGCGAATGGTCTGAAAAGAAAATTGACGCAAAAGATTGCCAAGTATTAATTTATTTTGATTTTTTGATTTTTAATATTTGACGAGAATTTTCTTTTATTGTATAAATTTATTTGCATAAAATGAATGTCTATTTTAAATTTATTTCATGCTTAAATTCACAATGAAATTCTTTAAGCTCTATATCTTAAAATACAAAAATGAACTCAAAACTACTAAACAATTTTGAGTTGAATTCTTTTAATTTTTTTCAAACAAATAAATTTGTTATAAACAAAGATACTGATTCTGGTTCAATTTATTTTAGTGAAGCAGGTGCATTGTTAAACAATTGCTCCTATTTTTATAACAATGAGCTCAAGGAATTTCTTGAACGAGATCACTTAAATGTAATACACTTTAGCATAAAAAGCTTAAAAAAGAATTTTGAATCTTTTAGGAATAATATTGAGGAAGCTTTAAACATTTTTAACATTATATGCGTAACGGAAACTTGGTGTAGCTCCGATGAGGCAAAATCTAACTCAAACCTCCATCTTCCGGGTTTTTATCTTGTACCTTTAGCACGCAAGACTAAAAAACGAGGGGGTGAAGTACTTTTTTATGTAAGCGAAGAAATGCGGTTTATAAATAGGCCTGATATGAGTATTTCTGATGCCGATAAAGAGGTTTTAACAATTGAAATCTTACCCAAAAAAAACAAAAATATAGTTATAGGTTGCTGTTATCGCCCACCATCTGGTGAAATAAATAGTTTTAAGTCATTTTTAATTACCGATATAATAAAAAAAACTACAATAGAAAAGAAATTAAACTACATAATTGGTGACATAAATTTAAACGCATTTAATTATCATGTAAATTACAAAATAAATGGGTTTTATAACGGTTTATTTGAAAACGGCGCCATTTTGGTTATCCATAAACCAACAAGGGTAGTTCAAATTCTGCTTCCTTAATAGACAACATTATGACAACGGATACTTTTAATGAATCTATCAAAAAGGGTTTAATTAAAAGTGATGTTTCTGATCATTTTTCGATTTTTTTTTCAATAAATATTGACATTGAGTTAGTACCGATAACAAATCAAGTTTTCTTTAAACGATGTTTCAGTAAAGCAAATTTAATGTCGTTTAATGAACAACTATCATTACTACACTGGAAACATATAAATTTCTCATCTGAAGCAAATCTAGTTTATAACTCGTTCTTTAAAACATTTTTTGAAGTTTATGACGCAAACTTTTCTCAATACGAAGTAAGTCTTACAAAAAAAAGTATTAAGTCACCATGGATTACAAAAGAACTTAGAAAATCGTCCAAAGTTAAACAAAAATTATATATAAAGTATTTAAAGTCCAAAACTGATAAAAATAAGGAGATTTATAAAACTTACGTGAAGCATTTTAAATGTCAAAGAAAAAACTTAAAAAAAAAAATACTACTCAAACTTACTAGAGAAGTTTAAAAATAACTCAAAGCGCACGTGGCAAATTTTAAATGAAATTACTGGCAACTATTAGAGTAAAACAAGCAACTTGCCAAAAGTTATTAAAAACAATGATGTTTTTTTAAATAATCCAAAAGATATAGCAAATCAGATAATTAACTATTTTATAACTGTTGGTCCAAACTTAGCTAAAAATATTCCAATTATAACTAACTCAACAAATTATTTTACCCTTCCCATAATTTCCGAACTAAATAACTTTGAAATTTCCATGAAAGAATTTGAATGTGCTTACAAAATGCTAAAAACCAATAAAGCAAAAGGCACGGATGGAATAAATAGTAACATTTTAATTGCATCTTATGAGAACATAAAAACTATTCTTTTCCAAGTGTTTCCTAGTTGTTTAATAAAAAGGGGATATTTCCTGACCAACTAAAGATCGCCAAAGTTTCACCAATTTTTAAAAGAGGTGAACAATCAAATATAACTAATTATCGTCCAATTTCTGTACTCTCTGGTTTTTCAAA